TTTAACTTTCTTTTTTATGTTTTATTGATTTTATTGTATTTTCTTTGTTTGAATGTTGTGAGTTGCCCAGGGAGACATACAATTTAAATAATAATAATAATAATAATTATTATTATTATTATCATTATTATTATTATTATTATTATTATTATACCAGTAAAGAAGTTTCTTTTTTTAACGTTCTCTGATCACTTTTACCTACTACATTCCATTTTAAGATGTGAAAAATCAGCATAGAACCTGTGTTGTACTTAGGTATTGGCTTTATTTACCAGATATATTTAACTGAATATTAAATATTTAACCAGCCTCAATATGTCAAAAAAATCCCAAACACCAGGCGTTTCAAGATAGAATGAAGTCATTTGCCTTCCTTCCCTGTCACCAAGGTTAATTATTGGACATTTTGGGTTAACCTAGTCTTGACCTGTTGCTCAGATCTAGGTAGGAAAGTTAATTTGAGGTTAACCCTTACTTCCAGCACCCAGAACAGAAGTGCCACAGTTCTGGGTTATATGTATATATTGGTTATATATATTGTAAGGGGGTGGGACAAACATCTTTTTCTCTCACTTATACTCCAAATACGTACTGTGGATTTTAAAAAAAATATAAACTTCCATTTTTAAGTTGCAAACATTCACTGTTGCAAAATATTACAGTGCTAGCCAACTTACAATTAGCAGCTTGGTTAGAAAAGAAAATTTGTAGAATTTATAAAAGAAAATTCAGTGTTCCGTATAATAAGATAGTACAATACTAGTCTGCTACAAATAGAATGATTCCACCCAGTATCTCAGAGCTGAAATGCACTGAAGTCTTAGCTTACACTCTGGAGTTGTGCTACTTCTACAATGACCCTGACCTCTTGGCTATCTTGTAATTAAATGCATGCATACATACCCCATTTCTCTTCACTGAAATGTTCTTCAACTTTGAAATAAATTTCAAAGGCCACTCTCTTTTTTCATAAATTGAATAAGGGAAGGAAATAGGAAGTGCACTTCTTGATAAAGTGATCTGGGTAGATTGCTTGTTCACCTAGTCCAATGTTGACCATCTTGACAGTAGAAATTTAGAAAATTTCCCATTACCTGCTATGTGATCCTTTTAACTGGAGATGCCAAGGGTTTTACCTGAACCAATCTGCATCATTAAGCTTTAATCTGTCTCTATGGAGACCTTTAGTGGGTAAGCATCCTTCCTGGCTTCTCAAACGTCACTTAAATCCCAAGGAAAGTATTCAGGAGAAAGCGCTCCCATATACCTTTTCCAGATTAGGAAATGTGGGTAGCCCTAGAGGCTTCAGACTGGTAAAAATTATTGTTTCTTGTATCACAGGAAGCAATCACCAGCAGCAGTAGCACCCCCAATTTTTAATAAAATAAGCTTAAAAATAAAAATACCACTGAGAGAAATTCAAAATAAATTCTCACTCAGAGAATAAGGCAGAAAAGAGAAATTTCTTTTGCAAGGGAAGATAATGTCAGAGCAATTCCACAGCAATTTGGCCCAGCATTATTCAGTGGATTATTCATATTGTGCTATGACATTTTTGATTATATGATGATGGATCAGGTGGCAGGAATCCCGCCTTATCTTGTTCCTTATCAGTCTTTGCTTCTTGTTACAAAACTGAAGCAGGATTCAGTTTCTAAGTTCTAGTTTCTTATTTTGTTTTTCATCCATGATTAAGGTAGACTTGGTGTTTTTGTTTTTAGAGCATGCTTATATATTAGCAGGAGATCCCAAATAAAGAAAGAGTCACTTTACAATTGGTAAAGAAACGAGATAAGCACAGAGAGAGATGTGGTATCCTTAATGGTGTAAAAACATTGTAGACACATTCCTTGAAAGGCCACATAGTTTTGATATACAACTTATGCCAAAGGTCTCATTGTTATCCTAACAAGCTGTTCCTGTACTATGGAGTCCTTCCACTGAAGATGTTACCTAGTCGGGTAATGAAACATCTGCAAGAAAACATCCAAGCTCAGAGAACACCAAAAACTCCACAGTTCAATCCTGAGCTACATATATTCTCTTCTATTGTTCCTGTATTTTACTGCGGAAGGAAGCAAGATAAGACTATGCCTCAAATCTACTGCCTCCTCTCAAGGCATTAACTCTATAATTGATTAATCACTAGCAAGCACAAACTGGCACAGTAAAGAAAATTTTATTCTTGAAGGTGCTACAAGAGAGATACAACAAAATACACATTGTATTAATATACAGTATTTGTATATGTAATATGATTATTGATTCAATCTGAATTATTCTTCCAATTCTCCACAATATGGAACAAGTTCCTTGGAGCAAGATCTGTATAATGGTGGAATCGTACACATGTGAGTTGTCCATCTCTAGATGCTTAAAGAAGAAGCTGGACAACTACCTTTCATGGGTGGTTAACTTGATTTTCCTGCACATTGCAGTGGGTGGGATCTGATGATCCTTGTGATGCCTTCCCACTCTACAGTTCTATGAGTCTAGGATTCATTGGTACAGCAGTATCAATAACATACATTAAAACATATTGTCCTTTGAGATGAAGGATGCTTCTGAACGAGACTTTTGTGCAATTGTCATTATGAAAATGGAATTTTATGGGATGGGAATAGAAGAGAGATTTATTTATAACCCTCATATGGTTTCTTTCCTTCCTTCCTTCCTTCCTTCCTTCCTTCCTTCCTTCCTTCCTTCCTTCCATCCATCCATCCATCCATCCATCCATCCATCCATCCATCACAGAGGAAAACGCAAAAAAGAATACACAGTGTCTGATTGACTGTTCACTGTGCACTATCTGAAAGATCCCAAAGACAATGCTGGGACATTTGGAAGAGGCAGTCTCATGATCATTGGGAGAAGGGTTTATATTCTTATAAAAAGCACACTTCTGGTGCAAATACGTATAAACTTTAGTCCTCTGGAAATTTGGATACATTTTAAATTTATTTTTACATCACTGCCTCCAGATAAAGAAGTCATGCTGTTCTGCCCCAAGTGCTTTCTTATTATGTTACACAAGTCACTCTAACCCTTTTTAGCTCTTCTTGCTTGCCTATTATTAATCGCTCCATTCATTTTAATGGCTGTAATTATCTACAATACAGCCACTTAAATCCTAAAGTGCATAGCCTAACCTATGTGCTACCTAATCTAAAGAGATCCCAGAGTTTTCTATAAGGACCAGTCATACCAGAAGTCCTCCCATGGAAAGTGTGACCACTAAGCATCAGCAGTCTGTGAGGGCAGCTAAAACCCACAACTATTTCTCATCATCATTCCTGATAACCATTATCTTTTTCTGCTGAAAAGATTGCTTGCATTGCTACTATTCCATGAGATAATCCCCTTCAGCTTGTTCTTGCTATCATTGAATCATAGAACTGTAGAGCTGGAAGAGACAAGGACTCACAGTTATTTACCCACCCACAGTTTACAGAAAAGCCAATTAAGCCATCCATCAGAGGTGGCTCTCTAGTCTTTTAAAAATCTTTAGAGATGAAGAACCCATAACCTCCCTATGTAGACTATTCCACTGTTGTACAGATCTTATCGCCAGGAAGATTTTCCTTATATTTAAACAAAAACTAGGTAGCTGCAATTTATACCCATTATTTCTGGTCCTAGTGTTCGTCGCCATGCAAAATAGTTCTTGACCATCTTCTGTATCTTCCTTTATATAACTGAATACGGCTAACATGTCTCCCCTATGTCTTTTTTTCTCCAGACTGAACATCCCAAGTTTCTTCAGCCTATGAAACAATAAACTTGTGAGCCGCCCAGAGTCACCTGTTGGGGGAGATGGGCGGCATACAAGTTTAACAATAAATAAATAAATTAAATAAATAAACTTACTCTGGGCTATGTGAAACCATGGAATAGTACCAAGTTAAGCATCCTTTTAAATGGGATTCAAATACATTCTCATGAGCATAGTACATGTTGGATTTGGGTTCCTTCCTCATCTAGTGCCAGTGTATAAATTTCCAAGTAAGGTTCCAAGCCTAAGTTTGGATGGGTACATCTCAATTAAATGCTAACCTGATTACATGCTGCTATGTAGACGAAAAGCAGTCAGTCACTACTTCCTGATTACACACACAATCCATTCTTACTTTTTCCTTTCAGATGAATTCTGTCTTCCTAAGATTGATTGAGGGGTCTGAGTAGAACCATAGGGAATTCCCTTTAGAAACAAAGTTCTTCAGAGGAACGCCCACCCCACCCCACCCCATTCCACTTCTCAGGATAAGACAAGAATCCAGCCAGTGCTATTTCTCTATTGTTCTACCAACAGCAATACTTTTATTTACCAGGCACTGGACTTGTCAGACGAGAAACATATCCCAGCAACCGATTCTTATAAATGCAAAATGACTCCATTCAGCCAAGAAAGCAAGAGCTTTTGAACACTTGGGAAAGAATTTATCCACTGCTTTCTCTGCTCTTTTGACATGGGCTTACAAAAGTGCAGCGGCTGTTTGAGTTGCCTGTTGATCCCCCTGGCACTGTGGAGTATTGTTATAAATATTCTTCTATATTTTCCTGATGGGAAGTCTTCATATGCCTCCAGCAATAATCTCACCAACTATGTCTGGTATTTTGAAGGAATCTGTTTCTCAGGTATTATGGTAAGTATGGCTTCTCTGGTTTGCTAAATACATCTTTCATTTTCTCCACAGGACTGTTTGATCTTGAAATGGTAGATGGTCCAGGAGGGGACAGAATCAAAATAATAACTTTATTTTAGAAGCAGTACATTTACTCAAAAGCCAAACACAACATTTCAGTAGCTGAGTGTTTTAAAGTTGATAGAGGTAATTTTTAAAGTAACTTGGCTATTTGTTTTCCTGACAAATGGTTTAAATATATTTACATAGGTCATTATATTGATTTGTATGATTGATCTAATGATGGTTGTGGACTTGGATTAACAATAATTCTTACTAATATATACATGCAAAACAAATGAAATGTAGTTGGAATGAAGTCCTACTAACATTATACCTTCATTCATTCTTTTATTTCAAAAAGCTTCTATCCTAATTTCCTATTATGAAGACATACTTCAAAAAGCTTTGACCTGTGGAATTAAAGTATATATTGGTGTTTCACAATGATGATATTCCAAAACTATTGAACTCAGTATGACCGAGTTTTGCTTAAAAAAATACAAAAATTGGCTCTATGTTGAATTCCAGTGGGAGTTTGTGGTAACCAGTGTTTGGCTTGCTTTCAGAATTAATATACTGGAGTCTGCTATCCACAATTAGTATCCTTTAAGTCAGCTGCAAGACTGATTGGATACTCAAGACATGCTCAAGAATGTCTGCACTTGATATCTAAGTAACAAAATTCCCTTATGTCTAATTTTTAGTTGCATGAATGCAGTTGTGAGCCTTAACAAGAAAAAAGAAAAGGATTGAGGAAGCCTGGGGAAAACCTGTGCGCATTATAAATGAAAGAAATCCTGATTGCCTCTTCCATAAAATCTGTGTTTGAGGCAGAGTAATTGCACAATAAAGATTTTGTCTAAAAGCCCCTTCCTTAGTATTTCTTCACATGGTGCTGAATCCTGACATTCACGTGGGTTCCACAACTACTTTCCAAGTGAAAATAAGAAATGCACATAAAAAAGGAATATGAATATTTCTTAAATATTCCAGCACCTGCCACTGTTGGAGTGCCAAGACATTGTATTAACTTGTAACTAGCACATAGTTACGGTAATATGTTACATAGCCATTAGCCCTAGTCTAATGCTTCTATATATGCTTTTGAGCACCCATGAAGATCTTACCTATGTGGGCTTCCCAACTTACTTTACTGAAAGAAACAATGCAAAGGATTGCTTTATTTGCTCCTTGGTCTATCTAAAGTGAGTTACAAAATACTTTTTCTTAGGTGCAAGATGGTCCTTTGGGATATGTCAGTTTCTTCAAAAGCAAGGCCATCTTTTGATCATGCCATCCTAGAACCTGTAACCTACCAGGTATCCAGACTACAATTCCCAGCATCCTAGCCAGAATATGAAATGGTGGAGAATGCTTGGATTTGTAGTTCGGCAACAACTTGACAGCTAGAGATTTCCAGTAGATTCTTTGCCTCTAAACTGATACATTTAGAGGGCTTTTTTTCTGTAAATGTAATACAAATGCAAAGTATCTGATAGTTTTGATATCAGGAAGGGTGGTTTATCCATTTCCTTGGTAACCATGACTGGAACAAAGACCAAGCTTTTGCTCCAGTGTATAGGAAACATGGAAAAAAGCCCCATTGATACCAGTTCTATTACGTCTAGACCACCAATGCAAATTAGAGTATTTCCTGTTGGGAATATCCATCGTTTTGTGTTTCTGTCTTGCTATTTGTATGGGTGTCTTTGAAAAGCTAACATTATACATTTTATATTTTAAAACCCTTTTCATCATATGGTAAGGGAAGCACAAGCAATCTATGCCACATTCAAAAGATGAAACTATTGGCAGTGTTTAATGTTCATGCATAAATTCTACCTGTATAATCACGCTTGACTATGAGGAACATAAAGACAACCCTAAGTTGCATATATTTTCCTTCTGAAAATATTTCTGAATAATGCATTTCTGACATGACTTGGCTCTGTGCTTTCAGTGAAATTTGATGCAAGGTAGCTACTCAACTTCATGCATTATCTAATCAGAATGATATCAGTTTCTGGAAGCATGATTTTGTGAGTTCAATGTTATTAGACTCAACTTCTGTGCTTTCCCTACTGTCTTCCAGATTCTTATGCTGGCAGCACTTTTGGTAATTCTGGACCGGGACACCTTTTATAAATGCTTCCAAAGTGAAAGTTGCACCAGAACATATAGGGTGAGTATCTGTTTGCAAATGTAGCATTTTTGCTTTAAAAAGACCTTCCTTCCTGCTTTGACTCTTCTGACCCACTGGCTGCTGTTTCCTTCCTTATTCTGTGATGGAGATAAAAAAAGAGAGAGGCCTTTATTTCTTATCTCTGCAGCAAATCTGCAAAGGCCAGCAGACAAGAACAGGAAAAAAGCTAGCCACCATTCTGAAATAGATGGACTTCCCCAGTGTTTTTATACCAGAATCAACAGAGATAACTTTAGAATTGTTGCCAAATATTTCTTCCCTACTTCTATCTCTCTATTAGGCACTGTTCTGCAGCCTCATGCTCTGCAAATCTGTTGAACCAATTAGTGTAATTCTGAGTAGTCTCAGGGAGGAAGCAACACAAAGATGCCTGTTTGGCCTGTCATCATATTTTAAATGAACAATTAATATTTTCCCTAATTCCACATTTTGGCTCAGCCTTAGCAGTACAAATCCCTAAAGCTATCTCCACAACAGTCACACTGTCTTCCTCCCAAGAAGCATGAATTAATATTGTCCTTTCTGTCACCTTTTGTCACATGAAGAGCTTAGCTCTACAGTATGAGATCTACATGGTCTTCAGAGTTTAAGGATCTGTTTGGGTGTTTTATGAGAGGTCAACTTTGGCATATCCCATTAAAAATAATCCAGCCTACTTCATATGGAATGACATATTTGCTTAATGACATGCAAAGTAAGTGGGGAGAATAAGATTTTGTAAAGATAAGAACGTGAACCACAATTAATTTTTAAAAAGAGAACTGATGCCTTGCAGTGGCTTAAGAACTTATTCTGAGAAACTGATTCAAATCTGCTACGAACTCACCTACATGGCTATGGGTCATATTTGCCAATATCATTGGGCAACATAGATGGCAACCAAATGTCATGATTTTGGGTATAATAAATAAGAGTATTTTTTAATTATTATTTTTTTAAGGTGTTCTGCTTTGCAGCATGACAACTTCTCATTCTTTAAAAAAAATCAAATGGCTTTTAAAAAAATAGAGAGCCAGTGGTAAAGGGAGACTGGTGAGCACAAGGGAGACTGCTGTGAGCACATGTACCACTGAGGCTCTCAGGCAGGATGCTCGTGACTTCCCGTCTTGCCTAACCACAGGACACAACCATAAATCTGCCAGCTATGTTCTCTGATTAGATAAGGAGAGATGCAGCATGCATTCTGCGAGTGGACAGCATGCTAAGCTCTAGACCAGCAATAGCTATTTTCCCAGCTCTACTGCCTTGTACACTTGAGCAAAGGATAAGATATAACTAAGGTCGTAGATAGTTCACTCCCTGTAATGATGGAATCCTTTCACTCCCTCTCACTGTGCTTCTTCTTCTTTTAATGCAGCGTTTCATTTCTGTTGTGCTTTCCCTACTAGGGATTGCATTCTCTGGCTACAGTTTGATCATATCTGCTTTGGGCTTAGTGCAAGGCCCATACTGCAAAACCTCAGCTGGCTGGGAATATGCCTTCAAAGATACTGCAGGCAGGTAAGAAACAGGCTTATCTGTGGGGCCAACTTTAGATATGTTGATGTCCTAGACCAAATATTAAAATGATATCCCCTCATGGCCAATTGGTGTGGCTCCCTGGCCTTGCAAGGTGCTGGGCTTGGGACTGCTTCTCCTTTCTATTTTCAAAACTGATTCATTCACCCAAGCCCATTTCCAGATTCTTAGACCTCCCTGCATTCATCTCTAGAACTCTGATAGATGGATGGACAAAGAGTCCTTGGGCTGATAACTCTGTGGGGTAGGACCACCTGACAGGCCTTTTACCTGCAATCATAGTAATAATACACTTCCATTTTCTTTATGCCACTGTTTCCCCTGATAGCTACCTCATGGATCATACTTCCTGGTCCCAATGCACTGAGCCTGCTTATGTAGTGGAGTGGAACATCATTTTGTTTTCTATTCTGATAGTTCTTAGCGGCCTCCAAATCTTGATCTGCTTTCTGAAAATAATTGCAGAATTAAAGCAAATCCTGTGTGGAAATTATCCTGTCTTTGTTCAGGTAAGAGAACAATTTCCACAAAGTTTTCTTTTTATCTACCATAACTGTTTATGCTATTTTTACTCTTCCATATGTTATAAGACTGTATCTTCTTCTACTTAGGCTTTAATAGAGTCTATAGATAGCTGAGAGGACCAGCATCTTCAGCTTTTCCTCCCTACACTTTGCATTCTAACGCAGCTTTCCCAGCCTTGGCATCTTCAGATATGTGGACTTTAATTCCCAGAATTCCCAGTTAGCATGTATATTGCAGAGAATTCTGGGACTTAACATCTCTACTCATGGGGGGGGGGATCCAGTTTATGAAAGATGTCCTAAAAGATTTAGACCTACAGAAAATATAGAAGGCAGCATACATAGGATTCTTCCATTTATAAAGTTCATTCTAATAACTAACAAAAGGCATTAGCTAAATTCATGCCTTTTTCCCCCACTGGGACTTGCTGAACAAACCATAATGACTTGGTACACACATGCTAATCCATAATGGGTAGAATTATATATATAATTTTCCTTTTTTAGTATTGTTTTAATGCTGGATGTATTTGTGTTTTAGATATATTTTTTAGATATAGTTTTTAATGTTTTTTGTAAGTCGCCCAGAGTCCCCTATTGTGGGGGAGATGGGTGG